ATAAATCTATGTTTGAATTGGAACCTGTCGACCATTGTCTTCTTCAACCCGCACATACCCGTGACACCATCAGCCTTCAGTGACTTATCAGGACACTTCTCTCTTCAACTTAAATTCCTTTTATCTTGCATGATTTAATGAAGTGACAAAACGCCTGAGCAACAATGAGAAAGAGGTAAACAGAAACTGGGCAACCTTGCTTAACCCCTCTTTCCAGATAAAACCTTTGTGTAGTGCCATTATTTAATTTCACAGAACTATTTCCACCTGCATAAAGAGTTTTCATGGCATTACAGAAATAAGCCCCAAACCCAAAGTGTTCTAAACAGTAAAAAAATAAAAGGATGCTCAACAGAATCAAAGGTTTTGAAAAAATAAAAATAAAAAGTATAAAGCTATCATCTTTTACAAGGTCAGAATAATCAATAAGATCAAAAATAAGTCTGATATTATTAAATATATGTCTGTTTCTCATAAACCCAGATTGATTTTCAGCAATAATGGAATCTAATACCAATTTGAACCTTTGGGCAAAGACATGAGCAAATATGTTATAGTCATTATTCAACAGACTAATGGGTCTCCAATTATCAATAAGCAACGCATCTTTCTTGGGATTAGGAATCAAACAAATTATACCCTCATCATATTGTAGGAAGCTGTGAGCACTTTAAGCTTTCAGAGAATACTTCAAAAAGAAATAGGGCAAGAATCTCAGAAAACTGCTCATAGAACTTACCGGGTGATTTATTACATTTTAAAAGTTCAATAGCTTGCTTAATTTCCATAATAGTTACTGGGAAATCTCATAACTTTTGGTCCTCTTCAGTAATTGTTTTTACATTCTTAAAATGTTTACAAAAAGATGTCACATTATGCTCACTGAATTTAGAAGTGTATAAATTAGAGTAATAATTATGGCAAAAGCTAGAAATAATTTCAAAATTATCTGTAATAGAGCCATTAATATTCATTAAATATATTCAATTTAGTTTAGCCCTCGACCTTTCGAGTTTAAAAAAATAAGCAGACATCTGCTCTCCATGCTCTAACCATTTTTGCCTTGATCGAATAAAGGCTCCTTGTGCTAGCATTCTGTACTATCAAGCTAATTTTGCAGCTCTGTTAGACGTAATCTTTGTCCTTCTAACAGGTCCACATTAGGAATGTTAGAAATGGCTAAGATTTCACTAACAACTTTCTCTTCCATAAGACGTCGTGATTTAACTAATGTGCTACTAAACTTCCTCAAATATTTTCCAATTTCCAATTTTAGTCATAATTCCCAATTATGACTAAACAACCCTTCCTTTTTGGTTTTAATCCAATAATAATTTAGCGAAAGTCATTTGCGGGTCAAAAAGACCCCGAAGAACGCTCAAGGGTTAAATGCATTTTGTACAATTCACTACTTTTATAGACTAATTGAAATAACCGCGAAGCCCATAAAAAAAATATGATACATATGTGGGTTCTACTGTTAAGGGACAATGCAGACGACCAAAAGAAAGTCCATAGATGTGAAGCCTCTCTTACCTCATCTTCAATTCCTGTAACATCTAGTGTAATCATGCTCGAGCCAAACTGAATAGTGTCTTCCTTTTTCAGAGTCCCACCAAAAGGAAGCGTGTTTTCATTATACGATCTCACAAACTTGAAGTCACTTGTGCGCGAGCCTGTGGTTAGATACGCGTCATAGTTGTAAGAGCTGCGGAGAGTTCCTGCTCCATCCACCTCTGCATAGTTGGGAGGCAGATAGGCGCTGGGAACAGCAACTGCTCCATCAAACAACAGTCTGGGCTTTCTCCTGTGACAAAACTTCACTGCCAACATCAGTATGATGAACGTCAGGAAGAAGGTGCACACGGAAACTAATGCAATGATCAAGTATGACGTTAATTTAGAGTTGTTCTCCTCATAAGTCATATCTTTAAGTTCAGGAACTTCAGAAAGGTTGTCAGAAATGAGTAAATTCACAGCACAGGTTGTAGACAGAGACGGCTGACCGTTATCCTTCACTGAAATAACAAGGTTCTGCTTCATATTGTCAGATTCAGAAATGTCTCGTTGTGTTTTGATCTCTCCACTATGGAGACCAATGGAGAAAAGTCCCGGATCAGTAGATTTCAAGATCTGATAGGACAGCCATGCGTTCTGTCCAGAGTCAGCATCTACAGCGATCACCTTGGAGACCAGAGAGCCCGAGAGAGTCGCTTTAGGGACCATTTCAGTCATTAAAGACTTTCCATCTGGAACAGGGTATAATATCTGAGGAGAGTTATCATTCTCATCTGTTATGAATACTTTCACAGTCACGTTACTGTTGAGTGGAGGAGAACCATTGTCTCTGGCAACAACTTTGACACTGAAGTTTTTGAAATGCTCATAGTCAAATGATCTTACAGCATGAATCACCCCTGTATCTCCATTAACAGACAGAAATGAGGACACTGGGACCCCATTGACTTCACTGGGTACCAGAGAGTACTGTACTGTCCCGTTCTGTCTCCAGTCTGGGTCATTTGCACTGACAGAACAAACAGAAGTGCCTGGTTTGTTATTTTCACTTATATAAGCACTGTATGTCTGCAGCTCAAATACGGGAGGATTGTCATTCACATCTGAGACAAATAAATGAATTGTCATGGATGTGGATAATGGTGGAGATCCTCCATCTGTGGCTGTGATGGTAATGTTGTAATCAGATTCTTTCTCTCGGTCTAGAGCTTTTGTAGTTACTAGAGAGAAATAGTTTTTAACAGATGGGTTCAGTTTGAAAGGAACATTTTGCTGAACAGAGCAACGAATCTGCCGGTTTTCTCCTGAGTCTTTGTCTTGAACATTAATGATTCCCACTTCAGTCCCTGGATCAGAGTTTTCAGGTATCGGGTTATTCAAAGATTTAAGGATGATTCTAGGTGGATTATCATTAACATCAGTTATATCTATGATAACTTTAGCAGTCGATACCAATCCAGATGCATCTTGAGCATGAATTCCCATTTCATAGTTTCTTTCACTTTCATAATCAATCTCTCCAGTAACTACAATTTGTCCAGTTGTCTTATCAATAGAAAATAATTTTGCATTCTTATCTGACAATCTGCTGAATTCAAATGTCACTTCCCCGTTTGGACCTTCATCAGCATCAGTGGCGCTCACTCTGATTATTTCTGTTCCTGAAGGTGTATTTTCAGCCAGAGTGACCTTATAAACAGACTGACTAAATACTGGGACATTATCATTGGCATCTAGAACAGTGATGTGTATGACAGCAGTGCCAGATCTCTGCGGTGAACCACCATCAGTGGCTGTGAGGATCATATCTATCTCCTTCTGCTGTTCACGATCCAGCTCCTTTTCCAACACGAGTTCTGCGTATTTCCCTCCATCTGCACTATCATGAACATTTAAAACAAAATGTTTGTTTCTCTCCAGTGAATAGCCATTGACCGCGTTATGTCCAATATCTGAATCATGCGCCTCATGCAAACGGAATCGTTGCCCTTTATCTGCTGATTCGGTGATTTCAAAGTTAAAACGGTCATTTGGAAATTGTGGCGGATTATCATTTATATCCTGAATTTGCAGAATTATACGGTGCACTTCAAGAGGGTTTTCCAGGACGAGCTCATAACTGAGAATGCAGGACATTCGAGAACCACAAAGCTGTTCTCGGTCTATTGTCTCTGCCACGATTAAATCACCAGTATTCAGATTAATATTACAATACCGTTTGCTGCTGTCCTCCGTGTCTATCCGAGCTTTACGAGCAGATAATTGTTTCACTTCCATCCTGAGATCCTTGGCTATATTTCCAATCACATACTGGCGCTTCGTTTCTTCCGGAATATTGTAGCTCAGATCTGCACAGACGATTCTCAGAGGAAACAGAAGGAGAGCCACGAAACACTTAAACAAAGGACCTGAAGACAGTATGTATTCCATTTTTGAAGATGTTGCACCTGTCCAACACTAAATAATCTTTGAAGGATGATATTCTAATAATTATATCGGCGTCGACGGAATGTTACTCCATTTTGTGCGTCGTTTATTCTAACAGACAGAGCTCATACTGCATACTTTAAGTGTGGGTGGAGAGACGCATCAGTCTGCACTCTTGGTGAATAGCGACACTGTGAGTATTTTTCTGTTCATTGCATCTTTCATGTTTTATTAAAAAGACAACAGTGAATAACCAAGTGAAGTCTGATCTTTGTCAATGGGTATATTTGTAAAATAATCATTTACATGCATCTATATATTTTGGAAAGGAACTAAAAATGTCACGCATTCGGAGATAAACAACAGATAGCGCTGACGCTGTCCATGCCTGTGGTGCTGAAACCTGATGACCTTAAAGATACTGGACAATAAATTACTTACGTAACTTTGAAATCATTTAAAATGCGTCAATTCGTTTTAAAAGAAAAGGAAGGCTTATCATTTTCCTCACCGCTTCAAACAAACTTAGAAGTATACTGTATTATGAGACTAATAGTGAAATGTTTGAACACATTTAGACCATCTACGTTTTTTAGAGTAAAGTAACGTTTTTAGAGTAGAACAATAACACAATATCGTAAAAAACAAACAAAAAAAACGTTAAATCTGGCAGAGATCGAATAGAAAACTTTACTAGACAATGCCATAAACTCTGGTTTGTGTGTCCAAAATTGATGAATGCAGCGTTCAAGTACTGTAAAAGGTGTGTAGGAAGTATATACATTTATGAGATCAAAAATTCGCGAGCTAATTAATCTTGACCATTTCAATTGTTTTCAGCAGTCCCAAAAGCATTTGTTAGATAGAAGAAAGATGGTAGTACTTGTATTCATATGTAATACAGCGTGAGCTTTTAATACATTACCACCCTAGTTCTTTCTTTAAATTGGAGCCCCCTTAGTGAAGTAAGTGATATTATTAATGCTAATAACATTTTAAAATGTATAATCAGCGGAGACACCACGAAATGCAAAAATAAAAGGAGTCTAGAAGAGTTAAGCCTCTCTTACCTCATCTTCAATTCCTGTAACATCTAGTGTAATCATGCTCGAGCCAAACTGAATGTTGTCTTCATTTTTTAGAGTCCCACCAAAAGGAAGCGTGTTTTCATTATACGATCTCACAAACTTGAAGTCACTTGTGCGCGAGCCTGTGGTTAGATACGCGTCATAATTGTAAGAGCTGCGGAGAGTTCCTGCTCCATCCACCTCTGCATAGTTGGGAGGCAGATAGGCGCTGGGAACAGCAACTGCTCCATCAAACAACAGTCTGGGCTTTCTCCTGTGACAAAACTTCACTGCCAACATCAGTATGATGAACGTCAGGAAGAAGGTGCACACGGAAACTAATGCAATGATCAAGTATGATGTTAATTTAGAGTTGTTCTCCTCATAAGTCATATCTTTAAGTTTAGGAACTTCAGAAAGGTTGTCAGAAATGAGTAAATTCACAGCACAGGTTGTAGACAGAGACGGCTGACCGTTATCCTTCACTGAAATAACAAGGTTCTGCTTCATATTGTCAGACTCAGAAATGTCTCGTTGTGTTTTGATCTCTCCACTATGGAGACCAATGGAGAAAAGTCCCGGATCAGTAGATTTCAAGATCTGATAGGACAGCCATGCGTTCTGTCCAGAGTCAGCATCTACAGCGATCACCTTGGAGACCAGAGAGCCCGAGAGAGTCGCTTTAGGGACCATTTCAGTCATTAAAGACTTTCCATCTGGAACAGGGTATAATATCTGAGGAGAGTTATCATTCTCATCTGTTATGAAGACTTTCACAGTCACGTTACTGTTGAGTGGAGGAGAACCATTGTCTCTGGCAACAACTTTGACACTGAAGTTTCTGAACTGCTCATAGTCAAATGATCTTACAGCATGAATCACCCCTGTATCTCCATTAACAGACAGAAATGAGGACACTGGGACCCCATTGACTTCACTGGGTACCAGAGAGTACAGTACAGTCCCGTTCTGTCTCCAGTCTGGGTCATTTGCACTGACAGAACAAACAGAAGTGCCTGGTTTGTTATTTTCACTTATATAAGCACTGTATGTCTGCTGCTCAAATACAGGAGGATTGTCATTCACATCTGAGACAAATAAATGAATTGTCATGGATGTGGATAATGGTGGAGATCCTCCATCTGTGGCTGTGATGGTAATGTTGTAATCAGATTCTTTCTCTCGGTCTAGAGCTTTTGTAGTTACTAGAGAGAAATAGTTTTTAACAGATGGGTTCAGTTTGAAATGAACATTTTGCTGAACAGAGCAACGAATCTGTCGGTTTTCTCCCGAATCTTTGTCTTGAACATTAATGATTCCCACTTCAGTGCCTGGATCAGAGTTTTCAGGTATCGGGTTATTCAAAGATTTAAGGATGATTCTAGGAGGATTATCATTAACATCAGTTATATCTATGATAACTTTAGCAGTTGATGCCAATCCAGAGGCATCTTTGGCCTGAATTCCCACTTCACAGTTCCTTTCATTTTCATAATCAATTTCTCCAATCACCACAATTTGTCCTGTTATTTTATCAATAGAAAACAATCTTGCAGTTTTATCTGAAATTCTGCTGAAGTCATACGTCACTTCCCCGTTTGGACCTTCATCAGCATCAATGGCGCTCACTCTGACTATTTCTGTTCCTGAAGGTGTATTTTCAGCCAGAGTGACCTTATAAACAGACTGACTAAATACTGGGACATTATCATTGGCATCTAGAACAGTGATGTGTATGACAGCAGTGCCAGATCTCTGCGGTGAACCACCATCAGTGGCTGTGAGGATCATATCTATCTCCTTCTGCTGTTCACGATCCAGCTCCTTTTCCAACACGAGTTCTGCGTATTTCCCTCCATCTGCACTATCATGAACATTCAAAACAAAATGTTTGTTTACCCCCAGTGAATATCCATTGACCGCGTTATGTCCGATATCTGAGTCATGCGCTTCATCCAAACGGAATCGCTGGCCTTTAACTGCTGATTCTCTGATTTCAAAAATAATACGATCATTTGGAAATCGTGGCGCATTGTCATTTATATCCTGAATGTGCAAAATTATACGGTGCACTTCAAGAGGGGTTTCCAGGACGAGCTCATAACTGAGAATGCAGGACATTCGAGAACCACAAAGCTCTTCTCGATCTATTGTCTCTGCCACGATTAAATCACCAGTATTCAGATTAATATCACAATACCGTTTGCTGCTGTCCTCCGTGTCTATGCGAGCTTTACGAGCAGATAATTGTTTCACATCCATCCTGAGATCCTTGGCTACATTTCCAATCACATACTGGCGCTTCGTTTCCTCTGGAATATTGTAGCTCAGATCTGCACAGACGATTCTCAGAGGAAACAGGAGAGCAACCAAAAACGCAAAGAAAGGAACTGAAAATAATCTGTATTCCATTTGTGAAGGTCTGATGTTGCACCTGCCCAAAATTATTTATTTTTTAACGGATGATATTAGAATAATTCAATCGGCGTCGACGGACTGTTACTCCATTTTGTGCGTCGTTTATTCTACCAGACAGAGCTCATACTGCATACATTAAGTGTGGGAGGAGAGACGCATCAGTCTGCACTCTTGGTGAATAGCGACACTGTGAGCATTTTTCTGTTAATTGCATCTTTTATGTATGAAATGACAACAGTGATCAACCTAGTTAAGTCCTAGTGTTTTTCATCGCGTATTATTGTAAAATAAACATTTACATAAATATATAGCCAATATATTGGATATTAACTAAAAAAGGTCTCGCATTCAGACGAAAAAGTACAACAGAAAGTGTTGTCGCTGTCCATGCTCGTGGTGCTGAAACGAGGGTTTTTTTTTAAATCACCGCTTCAACCAAACTTAGTTCTGTTGTAGGTTTTAACTCACATGTAGGCTACACTGTACTATTGGCCTCACAATGATAAATGTTCAAACACTTTTAGACCATCTACGCTAAAACTTACCAAAGAACTATGCTTGATTTTTAAACAGAAACAAAAACAGAAAACAAAGCAACAAAACTAAAATCAGATATCAAATACACAAGTTTACTAGCCAATGCCATATTATTTTTTTCTAATTAAACAGACCGCAATTCACATTAATAAAATATAATAGGAAAAAAAAATAATACAGATAATTTTATTTAAAAACAGACCTTTTTTCAGAACTCATGAATGCAGCCTTCAAATATTGGTAAAGGTGTGCAGGAAGTATATACATTTATGAGATCAGAAACTCGGAACCTACATGATTTAAAGTATTTAAAAATAGCCTTCATTATCAAAAGAAGAAAGACGATAGTAGTTCGAGATGATAGGAGTTTTATATGTAATACAGCGTGAGGTCTAATATGTTTCCCAAAATACTTTTACATTTTTAAACAGGAACCGCCCTATGTTATATTAATGCAAATACCAATTAAAACTTTCTGCGGAGACAACATAAAATACAAAAATAAAAAATGAAGCTGCTCTTACCTCATCTTCAATTTCTGTAACATCTAGTGTTATCATGCTCGAGCCAAACTGAATATTGTGTTCCTTTTTTAGAGTCCCACCAGCAGGAAGCGTGTTTTCATTATACGATCTCACAAACTTGAAGTCACTTGTGCGCGAGCCTGTGGTTAGATAAGCGTCATAATTGTAAGAGCTGCGGAGAGTTCCTGCTCCATCCACCTCTGCATAGTTGGGAGGCAGATAGGCGCTGGGAACAGCAACTGCTCCATCAAACAACAGTCTGGGCTTTCTCCTGTGACAAAACTTCACTGCCAACATCAGTATGATGAACGTCAGGAAGAAGGTGCACACGGAAACTAATGCAATGATCAAGTATGATGTTAATTTAGAGTTGTTGTCCTCATAAGTCATATCTTTAAGTTCAGGAACTTCAGAAAGGTTGTCAGAAATGAGTAAATTCACAGCACAGGTTGTAGACAGAGAGGGCTGACCGTTATCTTTCACTGAAATAACAAGGTTCTGCTTCATATTGTCAGATTCAGAAATGTCTCGTTGTGTTTTGATCTCTCCACTATGGAGACCAATGGAGAAAAGTCCCGGATCAGTAGATTTCAAGATCTGATAGGACAGCCATGCGTTCTGTCCAGAGTCAGCATCTACAGCGATCACCTTGGAGACCAGAGAGCCCGAGAGAGTCGCTTTAGGGACCATTTCAGTCATTAAAGACTTTCCATCTGGAACAGGGTATAATATCTGAGGAGAGTTATCATTCTCATCTGTTATGAAGACTTTCACAGTCACGTTACTGCTGAGCGGAGGAGAACCATTGTCTCTGGCAACAACTTTGACACTGAAGTTTCTGAACTGCTCATAGTCAAATGATCTTACAGCATGAATCACCCCTGTATCTCCATTAACAGACAGAAATGAGGACACTGGGACCCCATTGACTTCACTGGGTACCAGAGAGTACAGTACTGTCCCGTTCTGTCTCCAGTCTGGGTCATTTGCACTGACAGAACAAACAGAAGTGCCTGGTTTGTTATTTTCACTTATATAAGCACTGTATGTCTGCTGCTCAAATACAGGAGGATTGTCATTCACATCTGAGACAAATAAATGAATTGTCATGGATGTGGATAATGGTGGAGATCCTCCATCTGTGGCTGTGATGGTAATGTTGTAATTAGATTCTTTCTCTCGGTCTAGAGCTTTTGTAGTTACTAGAGAGAAATAGTTTTTAACAGATGGGTTCAGTTTGAAAGGAATATTTTGCTGAACAGAGCAACGAATCTGTCGGTTTTCTCCTGAGTCTTTGTCTTGAACATTAATGATTCCCACTTCAGTGCCTGGATCAGAGTTTTCAGGTATCGGGTTATTCAAAGATTTAAGTATGATTCTAGGAGGATTATCATTAACATCAGTTATATCTATGATAACTTTAGCAGTTGATGCCAATCCAGATGCGTCTTGAGCATGAATTCCCATTTCATAGTTTATTTCACTTTCATAATCAATCTCTCCAGTAACTACAATTTGTCCAGTTGTCTTATCAATAGAAAATAATTTTGCATTCTTATCTGACAATCCGCTGAATTCATACGTCACTTCCCCGTTTGGACCTTCATCAGCATCAGTGGCGCTCACTCTGATTATTTCTGTTCCTGAAGGTGTATTTTCAGCCAGAGTGACCTTATAAACAGGCTGACTAAATACTGGGACATTATCATTGGCATCTAGAACAGTGATGTGTATGACAGCAGTGCCAGATCTCTGCGGTGAACCACCATCAGTGGCTGTGAGGATCATATCTATCTCCTTCTGCTGTTCACGATCCAGCTCCTTTTCCAACACGAGTTCTGCGTATTTCCCTCCAACTGCACTATCATGAACATTCAAAACAAAATGCTTGTTTCTCTCCAGTGAATATCCATTGACCGCGTTATGTCCAACATCTGAGTCATGAGCCTCATGCAAACGAAATCGCTGGCCTTTAACTGCTGATTCTCTTATTTCAAAGTTAAAACGGTCATTTGGAAATCGTGGCGCATTATCATTTATATCCTGAATTTGTAGAATTATACGGTGCACTTCAAGAGGGTTTTCCAGGACGAGCTCATAACTGAGAATGCAGGACATTCGAGAACCACAAAGCTGTTCTCGGTCTATTGTCTCTGCCACGATTAAATCACCAGTATTCAGATTAATATTACAATACCGTTTGCTGCTGTCCTCCGTGTCTATCCGAGCTTTACGAGCAGATAATTGTTTTACTTCCATCCTGAGATCCTTGGCTATATTTCCAATCACATACTGGCGCTTCGTTTCTTCCGGAATATTGTAGCTCAGATCTGCACAGACGATTCTCAGAGGAAACAGAAGGAGAGCCACGAAACACTTAAACAAAGGACCTGAAGACAGTATGTATTCCATTTTTGAAGATTTGATGTTGCACCTGTCCAAATAATCTTTGAAGGATGATATTCCAATAATTATATCGGCGTCGACGGACTGTTACTCCATTTTGTGCGTCGTTTATTCTAACAGACAGAGCTCATACTGCATACTTTAAGTGTGGGAGGAGAGACGCATCAGTCTGCACTCTTGGTGAAAAGCGACACTGTGAGTATTTTTCTGTTCATTGCATCTTTCATGTATTTATTAAAAAGACAACTGTGAATAACCAAGTGAAGTCTGATCTTTGTCAATGGGTATATTTGTAAAATAATCATTTAAATGGTAAATGGACTGCATTTATATAGCGCTTTCACAGACCCAATGGCCACCAAAGCGCTTTACATATTGCCTCACATTCACCCATTCACTCACTCATTCATACACCGACGATTTACATGCATCTATATATTTTGGAAAGGAACTAAAAATGTCACGCATTCGGAGATAAACAACAGATAGCGCTGACGCTGTCCATGCCTGTGGTGCTGAAACCCGATGACCTTAAAGATACTGGACAATAAATTACTTAAGTAACTTTGAAATCAGTTAAAAAATGCGTAAATTCGTTTTAAAAGAAAAGAAAGGCTTATCCTTTTCCTCACCGCTTCAAACAAACTTAGAAGTATACTGTATTATGAGACTCATAGTGAAATGTTGAAACACATTTAGACCATCTACGTTTTTGAGAGTAAAGTAACGTTTTTAGAGTAGAACAATAACACAATATCGTAAAAAAAAAAAAAAGTTAAATCTGGCAGAGATCAAATACAAAACTTTACTAGACAATGCCATAAACTTTGGTTTGTGTATCCAAAATTGATGAATGCCGCGTTCAAGTACTGTAAAAGGTGTGTAGGAAGTATACATTTATGAGATCATAAATTCGCGAGCTAAATAATCTTGACCATTTCAATTGTTTTTATTATAGCAGTCCCAAAAGCATTTGATAGATAGAAGAAAGATGGTAGTACTTGTATTCATATGTAATACAGCGTGAGCTTTTAATACATTACCACCCGTTCTTTCTTTAATTTGAAGCCCCCTTAATGAAGTAAGTGATATTATTAATGCTAATAGCATTTTAAAATGTATAATCAGCGGAGACACCACGAAATGCAAAAATAAAAGGAGTCTAGAAGAGTTAAGCCTCTCTTACCTCATCTTCAATTCCTGTAACATCTAGTGTAATCATGCTCGAGCCAAACTGAATGTTGTCTTCATTTTTTAGAGTCCCACCAAAAGGAAGCGTGTTTTCATTATACGATCTCACAAACTTGAAGTCACTTGTGCGCGAGCCTGTGGTTAGATACGCGTCATAATTGTAAGAGCTGCGGAGAGTTCCTGCTCCATCCACCTCTGCATAGTTGGGAGGCAGATAGGCGCTGGGAACAGCAACTGCTCCATCAAACAACAGTCTGGGCTTTCTCCTGTGACAAAACTTCACTGCCAACATCAGTATGATGAACGTCAGGAAGAAGGTGCACACGGAAACTAATGCAATGATCAAGTATGATGTTAATTTAGAGTTGTTCTCCTCATAAGTCATATCTTTAAGTTCAGGAACTTCAGAAAGGTTGTCAGAAATGAGTAAATTCACAGCACAGGTTGTAGACAGAGAGGGCTGACCGTTATCCTTCACTGAAATAACAAGGTTCTGCTTCATATTGTCAGATTCAGAAATGTCTCGTTGTGTTTTGATCTCTCCACTATGGAGACCAATGGAGAAAAATCCCGGATCAGTAGATTTCAAGATCTGATAGGACAGCCATGCGTTCTGTCCAGAGTCAGCATCTACAGCGATCACCTTGGAGACCAGAGAGCCCGAGAGAGTCGCTTTAGGGACCATTTCAGTCATTAAAGACTTTCCATCTGGAACAGGGTATAATATCTGAGGAGAGTTATCATTCTCATCTGTTATGAAGACTTTCACAGTCACGTTACTGCTGAGTGGAGGAGAACCATTGTCTCTGGCAACAACTTTGACACTGAAGTTTCTGAACTGCTCATAGTCAAATGATCTTACAGCATGAATCACCCCTGTATCTCCATTAACAGACAGAAATGAGGACACTGGGACCCCATTGACTTCACTGGGTACCAGAGAGTACAGTACTGTCCCGTTCTGTCTCCAGTCTGGGTCATTTGCACTGACAGAACAAACAGAAGAGCCTGGTTTGTTATTTTCACTTATATAAGCACTGTATGTCTGCTGCTCAAATACAGGAGGATTGTCATTCACATCTGAGACAAATAAATGAATTGTCATGGATGTGGATAATGGTGGAGATCCTCCATCTGTGGCTGTGATGGTAATGTTGTAATTAGATTCTTTCTCTCGGTCTAGAGCTTTTGTAGTTACTAGAGAGAAATAGTTTTTAACAGATGGGTTCAGTTGGAAAGGAACATTTTGCTGAACAGAGCAACGAATCTGCCGGTTTTCTCCTGAGTCTTTGTCTTGAACATTAATGATTCCCACTTCAGTTCCTGGATCAGAGTTTTCAGGTATCGGGTTATTCAAAGATTTAAGGGTGATTCTAGGAGGATTATCATTAACATCAGTTATATCTATGATAACTTTAGTAGTTGATGCCAATCCAGAGGCATCTTTGGCCTGAATTCCCATTTCATACTTTTTGTCTTTTTCAAAATCAATTTCTCCAATCACAATAATTTGCCCAGTTGTCTTATCAATAGAAAATATTTTTGCAACTTTGTCTGATATTCTGCTGAATTCATACGTCACTTCCCCGTTTGGACCTTCATCAGCATCAGTGGCGCTCACTCTGATTATTTCTGTCCCTGAAGGTGTATTTTCAGCCAGAGTGACCTTATAAACAGACTGACTAAATACTGGGACATTATCATTGGCATCTAGAACAGTGATGTGTATGACAGCAGTGCCAGATCTCTGCGGTGAACCACCATCAGTGGCTGTGAGGATCATATCTATCTCCTTCTGCTGTTCACGATCCAGCTCCTTTTCCAACACGAGTTCTGCGTATTTCCCTCCATCTACACTATCATGAACATTCAAAACAAAATGTTTGTTTCTTTCCAGTGAATAGCTATTGACTGCGTTGTGCTCGATATCTGAATCATGCGCCTCATCCAAACGGAATCGCTGGCCTTTATCTGCTGATTCTCTGATTTCAAAATTAATACGCTCATTTGGAAATCGTGGCGCGTTGTCATTTATATCCTGAATTTTCAGAATTATTCGGTGCACTTCAAGAGGGTTTTCCAGGACGAGCTCATAACTGAGAATGCAGGGAATTTGAGATCCACAAAGCTCTTCTCGGTCTATTGTCTCTGCGACGATTAAATCACCAGTATTCAGATTAATATTACAATACCGTTTGCTGCTGTCCTCCGTGTCTATCCGAGCTTTACGAGCAGATAATTGTTTCACATCCATCCTGAGATCCTTGGCTATATTTCCAATCACATACTGGCGCTTCGTTTCTTCCGGAATATTGTAGCTCAGATCTGCACAGACGATTCTCAGAGGAAACAGAAGGAGAGCAACCAAAAACGAAAAGAAAGGAACTGAAAATAATCTGTATTCCATTTGTGAAGGTTTTGATGCACCTGCCCAAAAGTAAACAATCTTTGACGGATGATATTCTAATAATTCTATCGGCGTCAACGGACTGTTACTCCATTTTGTGCGTCGTTTATTCTACCAGACAGAGCTCATACTGCATACATTAAGTGTGGGAGGAGAGACGCATCAGTCTGCACTCTTGGTGAATAGCGACACTGTGAGTATTTTTCTGTTCATCGCATCTTTAATGTATTTAATGAAATGACAACAGTGAATAGCCAAATGAAGTATCATGTTTGTCAACGCGTCCTTTTGTAAAATAATAATTTATATGCATCTATATATTAGAAAGGAGCTAAAAATTTAACTTAGATAAACAACAGACAGCTCTGTCGCTGTCCATGCGTGTGGTGCTGAGACCTGATGACCTCAAAGATGTTGGACAAGAAAGCAATTACGTAACTTTGAAATCATATTATACAAACGCGTAAATCCGTTTTAAAAGAAAAGAGAGGAGTATATTTGTATTCACCGCTTTAAACTAACTTGGTCTACAAGTGTTTGAATATTTTACTTTGAGGCTGATTGTACAATCTACAGTACATCTACGTTCAATCTTTCCAAAGAACTATCTACGTTTTTAGAAATTAACAAAAGTTTTTAGAGTAGAACAACAAAACAATATCGTCAGAAACTGTTAAATCTGGCAGAGATCAAATACACAACTTTACCAGCCAATGTCATACTATTTTTTTCTAAACTTTGAAGACCACTATACCCATTAACAAAATATAATAGTAAAACAAAAACCACACAGAGACATTCCTCAAAAAAAGACTTTTGTTTTTGTGTCCTGATTTGATGAATTCAGCGTTCAAGTACTGTAAAAGGTGTGCAGGATGACATTTGTAGACATTTGTGAGATCCGAAATTCGCGGCCTATAATATGGACTATTTCCATTGTTTTCATCAGCAGCGGCAAGAGCATTTGATAGATAAGATAATATGGAATAACATAAAAAATGAAAGATGATAGTTCTTGTATACATATGCAATGCAGCATGACGATCTAATAAATTACCACCTAAGTAATTTGTTTAAACTGGAACCGCGTTAATACAGTAGGTGATATTATTTACCCAAATGTATAATCGACGGAGACACCATGAATTGTAATATTAGAGTCCAGAGGAGTTAAGCCTCTCTTACCTCATCTTCAATTCCTGTAACATCTAGAGTTATCATGCTCGAGCCAAACTGAATATTGTCTTCCTTTTTCAGAGTCCCACCAGCAGGAAGCGTGTTTTCATTATACGATCTCACAAACTTGAAGTCACTTGTGCGCGAGCCTGTGGTTAGATACGCATCATAGTTGTAAGAGCTGCGGAGAGTTCCTGCTCCATCCCCCTCTGCATAGTTGGGAGGCAGATAGGCGCTGGGAACAGCAACTGCTCCATCAAACAACAGTCTGGGCTTTCTCCTGTGACAAAACTTCACTGCCAACATCAGTATGATGAACGTCAGGAAGAAGGTGCACACGGAAACTAATGCAATGATCAAGTATGATGTTAATTTAGAGTTGTTGTCCTCATAAGTCATATCTTTAAGTTCAGGAACTTCAGAAAGGTTGTCAGAAATGAGTAAATTCACAGCACAGGTTGTAGACAGAGAGGGCTGACCGTTATCCTTCACTGAAATAACAAGGTTCTGCTTCATATTGTCAGATTCAGAAATGTCTCGTTGTGTTTTGATCTCTCCACTATGGAGACCAATGGAGAAAAGTCCCGGATCAGTAGATTTCAAGATCTGATAGGACAGCCATGCGTTCTGTCCAGAGTCAGCATCTACAGCGATCACCTTGGAGACCAGAGAGCCCGAGAGAGTCGCTTTAGGGACCATTTCAGTCATTAAAGACTTTCCATCTGGAACAGGGTATAATATCTGAGGAGAGTTATCATTCTCATCTGTTATGAAGACTTTCACAGTCACGTTACTGCTGAGCGGAGGAGAACCATTGTCTCTGGCAACAACTTTGACACTGAAGTTTCTGAACTGCTCATAGTCAAATGATCTTACAGCATGAATCACCCCTGTATCTCCATTAACAGACAGAAATGAGGACACTGGGACCCCATTGACTTCACTGGGTACCAGAGAGTACAGTACAGTCCCGTTCTGTCTCCAGTCTGGGTCATTTGCACTGACAGAACAAACAGAAGTGCCTGGTTTGTTATTTTCACTTATATAAGCACTGTATGTCTGCTGCTCAAATACAGGAGGATTGTCATTCACATCTGAGACAAATAAATGAATTGTCATGGATGTGGATAATGGTGGAGATCCTCCATCTGTGGTTGTGATGGTAATGTTGTAATTAGATTCTTTCTCTCGGTCTAGAGCTTTTGTAGTTACTAGAGAGAAATAGTTTTTTACAGATGGGTTCAGTTTGAAAGGAACATTTTGCTGAACAGAGCAACGAATCTGTCGGTTTTCTCCTGAGTCTTTGTCTTGAACATTAATGATTCCCACTTCAGTCCCTGGATCAGAGTTTTCAGGTATCGGGTTATTCAAAGATTTAAGGATGATTCTAGGAGGATTATCATTAACATCAGTTATATCTATGATAACTTTAGCAGTTGATGCCAATCCAGATGCATCTTTTGCTTGAATTCCAACTTCATAGTTCCTTTCATTTTCATAATCAATTTCTCCAATCACCACAATTTGTCCTGTTATTTTATAAATAGAAAACAATCTTGCAGTTTTATCTGAAATTCTGCTGAATTCATACGTCACCTCCCTGTTTGGACCTTCATCAGCATCAGTGGCGCTCACTCTGATTATTTCTGTCCCTGAAGGTGTATTTTCAGCCAGAGTGACCTTATAAACAGACTGACTAAATACTGGGACATTATCATTGGCATCTAGAACAGTGATGTGTATGACAGCAGTGCCAGATCTCTGCGGTGAACCACCATCAGTGGCTGTGAGGATCATATCTATCTCCTTCTGCTGTTCACGATCCAGCTCCTTTTCCAACACGAGTTCTGCGTATTTCCCTCCATCTGCACTATCATGAACATTCAAAACAAAATGCTTGTTTCTCTCCAGTGAATATCCATTGACCGCGTTATGTCCAATATCTGAGTCATGAGCTTCATCCAAACGGAATCGCTGGCCTTTAACTGCTGATTCTGTGATTTCAAAGTTAATACGCTCATTTGGAAATCGTGGCGCGTTGTCATTTATATCCTGAATTTGCAAAATTATTCGGTGCACTTCAAGAGGGTTTTCCAGGACGAGCTCATAACTGAGAATGCAGGACATTCGAGAACCACAAAGCTCTTCTCGGTCTATTGTCTCTGCCACGATTAAATCACCAGTATTCAGATTAATACCACAATACCGTTTGCTGCTGTCCTCCGTGTCTATCCGAGCTTTACGAGCAGATAATTGTTTCACATCCATCCTGAGATCCTTGGCTATATTTCCAATCACATACTGGCGCTTCGTTTCTTCCGGAATATTGTAGCTCAGATCTGCACAGACGATTCTCAGAGGAAACAGAAGGAGAGGAACGAAAAACGCAAAGAAAGGAACTGAAAATACTCTGTATTCCATTTGTGAAGGTTTAATGTTGCACCTGCCAGAAATATTTTTTGACGGATGATATTCTAATAATTCTATCGGCGTCGACGGACTGTTACTCCATTTGGTGCGGCGTTTACCAGACAGAGCTCACACTGCATACATTAAGTGAGGGTGGAGAGACGCATCAGTCTGCACTCTTGGTGAATAGCGACACTGTGAGTACGTTTCTGTTCATTGCATCTTTCATGTATTTAATGAAATGACAACAGTGAATAACCAAGTGAAGTCTTATGTTTTTCAACGCGTATTTTTGTAAAATAATAATTTACATACATCTATATATTGGAAAGGAACACAAAATGCCTCGCAATCAGAGATAAAGTCGCTATGTGTGGTGCTGAAACCTGATGACCTTAAACCTGGACAAGAAAGCACTTACGTAACTTTGAAATCATATTATTCAAACGCGTAAATCCGTTTTAAAAGAAAAGAGAGGCTAATCCTTTTATTCACAGCTTCAAACAAACTTAGTTCTTTAGGAAGATTTAACGTAGATTGTAGATTGTACTATCAGCATCAAATATGGAATATATTATTCAAACACTTCATCTACGTTTTTTAGAATAAACTATAGTTTTTAGAGCGGAACAACAACAAAATATCGTAACAAACTGTTAAATCTGGCAGAGATCAAATACACAACTTTACCAACCAATGCCATATTTTTTTTTCTAAACACTTTTGAAGACTGCTATAATAGTAAAACAAAAGCAATATACAGAGAAATCCCTCAAAAACTATGATACATGCAGCATTCAAGTACTGTTAAAGGTGTGTAAAGGCATTTGTGAGATCCGAAACTATATAATATGGACCATTTCAATTGTTTTCATCAGCAGTGGCAAAAGCATTTGATAGATAAGATAATATGAAATAAATAAATTGCCACCCAAGTACTTTCTTTAAACTGGAACCGCGTCAATACAGTAGGGGATATTATTTACCCAAATGTATAATCGACACCATGTAATGTAATATTAAAAGAGAGTCCAGAGGAGTGAAGCCTCTCTTACCTCATCTTCAATTCCTGTAACATCTAGTGTAATCATGCTGGAGCCAAACTGAATGTTGTCTTCCTTTTTTAGAGTCCCACCAGCAGGAAGTGTGTTTTCATTATACGATCTCACAAACTTGAAGTCACTTGTGCGCGAGCCTGTGGTTAGATACGCGTCATAGTTGTAAGAGCTGCGGAGAGTTCCTGCTCCATCCCCCTCTGCATAGTTGGGAGGCAGATAGGCGCTGGGAACAGCAACTGCTCCATCAAACAACAGTCTGGGCTTTCTCCTGTGACAAAACTTCACTGCCAACATCAGTATGATGAACGTCAGGAAGAAGGTGCACACGGAAACTAATGCAATGATCAAGTATGATGTTAATTTAGAGTTGTTGTCCTCATAAGTCATATCTTTAAGTTCAGGAACCTCAGAAAGGTTGTCAGAAATGAGTAAATTCACAGCACAGGTTGTAGACAGAGAGGGCTGACCGTTATCCTTCACTGAAATAACAAGGTTCTGCTTCATATTGTCAGACTCAGAAATGTCTCGTTGTGTTTTGATCTCTCCACTATGGAGACCAATGGAGAAAAGTCCCGGATCAGTAGATTTCAAGATCTGATAGGACAGCCATGCGTTCTGTCCAGAGTCAGCATCTACAGCGATCACCTTGGAGACCAGAGAGCCCGAGAGAGTCGCTTTAGGGACCATTTCAGTCATTAAAGACTTTCCATCTGGAACAGGGTATAATATCTGAGGAGAGTTATCATTCTCATCTGTTATGAATACTTTCACAGTCACGTTACTGCTGAGTGGAGGAGAACCATTGTCTCTGGCAACAACTTTGACACTGAAGTTTCTGAACTGCTCATAGTCAAATGATCTTACAGCATGAATCACCCCTGTATCTCCATTAACAGACAGAAATGAGGACACTGGGACCCCATTGACTTCACTGGGTACCAGAGAGTACAGTACTGTCCCGTTCTGTCTCCAGTCTGGGTCATTTGCACTGACAGAACAAACAGAAGTGCCTGGTTTGGTATTTTCACTTATATAAAAAACATAATTATGTAACTCAAATGTAGGGGAGTTGTCGTTGATGTCTGAAACTTGTATGTTCAGAGTTATATTGGAGAATAAGGGGGGTGTACCTCCGTCCTTTGCTGTTATTGTCACATTATAATTTTCGAATTGTTCTCGATCAAGCGAACTAGTTGTTGTTATAATGAAATAAGACTTGATGTACGGCTGTAGTTGAAATGGCAGACTCGTCGAAATGGAACAAGTAACCAGGCTGTTTTCACCTGAATCCTGGTCCTTTACGTTTATCACTGCGATCTCTGAACCAGGTGGGATGTTTTCTGGGATTTGTTTTTTTAGAGACTTTACAGATATAACCGGCGCGTTGTCATTGACATCATCTATTTCAATAACAACTTTACAGTGGCCTGTCTGACCTCCACCATCCTCCGCCTGCACTTCCATCTCGAACGAGGAGGCCTTCTCGTGGTCCAACTGTCCAGTGACAGATATTTCTCCATAATTTTCGTCAATTTTAAACAATTCTTTTGTGTTGTCAGATAGGTGATTGATATAATACGTTATTTGCCCATTTGCACCCTCATCCAAATCGGTTGCAGTAATTTTGATGACAGACGTTCCGAGTGCTGAATTTTCAGATAAACGAGTCTTGTACAAAGGCTGCGAAAACACTGGTGCATTATCATTTATGTCTAACACGCGCACTTCAATAACAACAGTTCCAGATTTTGCAGGATTTCCCCCATCGACAGCTAACAAAATCAAGGAATGCTCTTCTTTTGTCTCTCTATCCAGGCTGTTTTTCAAAACAATGTCCACATGCCTGTCTTTATTTGATTTTGTATCAAGAACAAAATGTTTGTTTTGACTGAGAATATAAGTCTGAACTGAATTCATTCCAACATCCAAATCCCGTGCGCGAGCTATTTGTAATTTGCTTCCTACCGGTGCCGCTTCGCTTATCTCAAGTTTAATTGAATCTTTGGGGAAACTAGGAGGGTTATCATTGATGTCCTGGACCTCCAAAACAACGTTATGAAGCTCTAAAGGATTTTCAAGAATAAATTCAAAGTGCATGAGACAGGGAGAGGTTGTACCGCATAGCATCTCTCGGTCGATTCGTTCCGAAACAAAAAGATTTCCAGAATCTAGGTCTACATCACAGTACCTTCTCTCCCCTTGATAATCCAAACGGGCTTTACGAAACCTCAAGCGATTAGAATCCAAATTAAGATCCTTATTTAGACTTCCAATAACATATTTTGTCTTTGTTTCCTCCGGCAAAGAATAACGAACATCAGCAGTGGTAACGCAGAAGAGAAGCGACGTTGTCCATAATCGCCATTTGGCCCAACACAATTTAGACGGTTTCACCATGGTTTCTTGTATGCAAGTAAAAACGTTGTTTCGAAATTTTCCTCACAAACAACTGATTTATGTCATGGACAGCACTGCTATTTCGACAAATGACTGTTATCAACAGAATAGAAAAATACCCGCACCAAATGGGTGTGTTCTTATGCCCCAAAAAGCAGAGTTAATCAACAGCGACACTGTGTGGTTCAGACGAGTTTAGGTAAACAGCTTGTGAGGTTTAATTTATGGTGTGCAGACACTTCATATTTACAGAGATTTTTCTGATAATGTGGGGTTAAATTACATTCTTACATGGCATATCAAAAATAACGATGAAACATTATTATTGACTAATATGAAGAAGTGCTTCCTTCAAAACCCTCAATACAGACAAAATATTTTAAACAAAATTGACTTTTTCCTCACCCTGCAGAAAAACCAACAGTAGGCGTACTATTATGACATCAAAGTATTTAAAGGGTTAATCTTTTAAATACATACTCTTACTTTTGTGAGCATTTATACTTGCCATTTCTATATCGTATATATATTTTTAGAACTATATCATCAATATACATTAATTGTGTAGGCTTTCATCTACACACGCCACTAACGGACACATGTGTCTTTCAGCACCACGGACAGCTACTCCGTGGTCGCCGGACACAACTGTTGGAAATGTGCCGTAGGATGCAATTTGATTTAAAAATGTACTCAGTACACAGCAATGGAATGTTAAACAAATATAAAATATTGCAAATTAGGGAAGACAATGCGCTACATTTTCTAACTGCTAAAATGCTATTCTGTTGAACTGCACACATCAGTCCGCACACATCTGTCGAACATTAAATGATCCGAGTCCAATGCCTCGCCTTTGAGTTTTATTTGTACACCGAGCACCAGAGGTGGGTAGTAACGAAGTACATCTACTTCGTTACATTTACTTGAGTATTTTTTTGGAAAATTTGTACTTTTAAGAGTAGATTTAATTGTGGGTACTTTTACTTTAACTCGAGTACATTTCTAATGAAAAAACGGTACTTTTACTTCGTTACGTTGGGCGACGTTCCTCTCGTTACTTTGTTTTAATGCAATATGTTGTTAAAAGCGTAGTTTATTCTAAGCGCGCACTCTCTCTTTTTTCTGGGCATGAGCGATGCTCAATTCATGAATCACTCTTTTGAGTCGATTCTGTTCAAAGACTTCATCAAACAAGTTGGGCAGATCTGTCTAAATCGGTTCGCGAATCAGTTTGAATGATCTGTTCAGTTTCCTGCACGCACTGAATCGTCTCGGAGTCGTAACAGGAATATTTAAGAACATCAAGAGCGTCGTATGAAGTGGCGGTCGAGTCTACAGTACAGTCTAGAAAGTAAATCTGCAAATGCATCATATTTTTTGCCAGTGATGAAGATCTTTATTAGTTGAACATCTTCGTATGTTACTTCGTAAGCTGTCTGTGAATGAATTATTCCACACGACGATACATTCGATTTCATTTCATTCAGGTAATACATTACAACCAAACAGATTTTTACGGCATATAGCACTACTACAAAGTATGACATTACCCTTTTTTTGGACATATACATTACTTTATTAAATAAGCTATCATCGTCCAGTTTATGAATGTGTGTACACAAGCTATCATCGTCCAGTTTATGAATGTGTGTACACACACAATGTGTGTATTGCGCAGTGGCGTGCGAACTCGACTTGAAAACGAATGCCTTTGCCTGCCTTATTAGACACAGTTAACCAGTTTAAAGATGCTTTCATAAATATAGCCTACATTTAAATACATTTTGGAGAACAGACAGAAGAAGATCCGTGCATTTGATCATTGTTTGTGTTTGGCATGACATGACTGCGGGCACATGTGCAGAGTTTTAACACTTTCTAATCTGTGTCAATGGTTCCCACCCCTTTACATATGAATGCAAAACTCCATAGAGTCACTTTATTCCGACATTGTCTAATAATCCAAATGTAGTTGTATAAGTTATTATACTATTATACAAACCAAAGGACAGGCAATGGTTTTCGGGCTATAGATATAATATACAGAAATAATGTTTGTCTCTTCTGTTTTTGTTGCAAAGATAGCTTATCTAATTATGATAATTTTAGTCATTAAAATGAAAAAAATATCTAAATAATATCATGTTATATATATATATATATATATATATATATATATATATATATATAGGCCTATGTGATCCAAAGTAACTAGTAACTAACTACTTGAGTAGTTTTTTCATTGGATACTTTTTTACTCTTACTCAAGTAACTTTTAAGATTATTACTTTTACTTTTACTTTGAGTAAATATTTCTATAAGTACTTTTACTTTTACTTGAGTACAGTTTTTGGATACTCTACCCACCTCTGCCGAGCACACAAAAAAGAATAAGTCAGAATTTTGCTGAAGTATCAAGATCAGAAAGATGACAGCTCCAAAGCGCACTATTTACCCTTTACCAAGTCTGCCACATTGTATTGTAACCTACTTCAAAGTATTGCCGTTCCAGACATTCCCAGTTTAAGTTTTGGAATTCACATCAAATAATTCCCCAACCAAACATGAAAACATATAGCTTAATCCTATATGAACAAATCAACTATCAAGGGCAGTTTGCTTCAGAATAAGTTATTAGTATTTTGTGTAGGTGAAACGTTCAGGTCCATCTATTCTTAATAACCTGAAAGTCTTAAAATAGAAAGCTCAGACAATTTACCATATATGGCCTGCCACAGTAACATAAGCTTATCTTTGGGAACCAGATTTATGACAAATTTCCAACTGGTAACATTTTTGGGGTCAGCACTTCGGATGTTTAAGATAAAAATGCATATGTTTAGTGCAGAAGATAAAGAATAAAATATTTAATTAAGTATAGTAATGCTATTGCTGACTATATAGATAGGTAAAATCAAACCCACAGAAAAATCTTGAATACTTATGAAAGAAAACTTTATTTGTGATTTATAAACAAAACACATTACCAGATTTCATAAAGTAATATAAAATAATAAACACCATTACACTGATGAGCAGGTGTACAAAAATTCTGTCCAACATATTTGCACCGTCAAAGTCAAAAGCATAGTGCCACCTAGGCACTGGATGAATTTATATATAATTACTACACACAAGCAGAATACATAGACCCTTTTTATTATCTCTTTTATAATTTTTTGACATTTTTTTATTTCATTTATTTTTTTCAGAAGGAAGAGGCTTATATAATAAGGATGTATGAACTTGTTCACAATACAGTGTTATTGATTTCAAAGCCTAGCACAAAACGAAGGATTGATCCTTTCAAGTTGCAAAAATCATAAGGTTTTAAAGGAAAGCAATTTAGACCATAACACTACAGCATTACATATATCTAGAATGTTAAAGTTAACGTTGATCGCCACAGAGCCGACATCGTTTCTGTGTCTTCTTTGTACACTCTATGCATGTATGTAATCAGTTTATGTTTGTGTATGACTGAGTGGATAATTTGATTTATGTCTACATACTTCAGCAGAGACGATACATATCTCCAGTTCCATCGTAAATGAGAAAAAAATAGTTATGAAAAACATATCTGTTCATTTATATCTATATATAATTTTTGTTTTAATTGCGTTTAACATGCAAAACAGTCACTTGGTGATCTGACAGCACTGAACCACACCTGAAAGAGACTCGAGTGAGTGTGTGTGTGTGTGTGTGTGAGCGCTTTGTGATGATATGGTCTCATAGCAGCACAAACATCTCTCTTTTACTGAACAGTATCTCTACAGACTTAGAAGGGAAAGAAAATAGAGATGTGATCCCTCTAAAAAAAACCTGTCTGAATGTTAAAAAAATCCCATTATTTACAACAACTATGTCATGAAGCTATGTCTCACCAGTGATTATATACAGTAGAAAAAAAATCTGTACTGTCCACTATTGTGTTTTTATCAGTCTAATCTCCACTCACCCTCTATCATTGCCCTATAAAGCACCATACGCCATAGCTAAACATCTCCACAATAAGCATGGCTGCATAGTCCATTATGGTTCCACTGCTGTGAGAGCATAAACACTGGAGTGTATTGAGTTTGTGTGTGCGTGTAGGGGCCAGTACATGTGCTTATGTTTCCAGCAGAAGGAGTGACAATAATATTGGCAATTTCACAGGCTTGATTTTTCTGCTCTTTCTTGTCACACTGTACAATACGAGCCACCAGGGGGCAGTACTGACATGGGGCCAGCACAGCACACCAGATAAAGGGAGGTTGGCAAAATGAGATATGCAAAAGTTACAAGCAGTAGGTGAGGGAAAGAAGCTGGACTAAGACATAAAGCCAGCAGGAAGTGGGATGACGTCTATCAAACATTCAAAACAGCAGCAAAGGAAGTAGGTGTGTTTGAAAAGAAGCAACAAGCATCCGTTCTACTATTTTACAGACTTTTGAGAGGCTGTTGTGCTTCAGTCCTGTTGTGGGTTTAGCTGTACAGCGAGTGGAGAGCCTGTTCAGGGTGTGTTATGTATTAGAGAGCAAGAATCTCTTTAGCTGTATGCACGTAATTTGTGCATGATTTTGGACTATATAAGATGAGATTTACTTGCTCTTATAAAACATACTGAGATTTCAGCGTTGGTTTAGGAGTGGGACAGAAGCTTTTTTTCTGAGTGTAAAGCAAGTGTCTTGGATTTCGCTGCTACATTCCCATCTCTGCAGACGTTTACTTTAGATCTGCTCTAGAAACCAGACACTGGTCTTTCTGATAATTGCAGTTAGATTTGTGTCTCTTTTTTTTTTTTGTCTTTTACAAAGTTTTGTTTCTAGCAGATCAAGGCGTGAGACAGGGCCAGGGGAGGTTGCTTCTTCCCCATTTGAAGTTGAGGGAGGAAGGCAGGGATGGAGTCGGAGAAAACTCTTGGTATTACAGGAGTTAATATCCAGTTTAACTGGACATTTGGTTGATCCTTTTAAAAGAGGAGAGGGACTTCCCTTGATGTGGTTGAAAATGTCATTCACAAGGTGCCAGCGGACTTGGTTTGCATTTTGCAGACTGTGTGTTTTCTTGGACATTGCTGATAAATTTCTGCACAATAGAGTAGAGTTAGAAAAATAGCCAATCAGAGTCACGGAAATATGTTTACAGGGTTAATTTGTGATTTTTATGTTCACTTGAATTGGTAGGTATGGTATATAGAAGGATCTTTTTCTCTTTTACATTTTCAGTATTTTTGGTTTTCTCTTTCTGTCAGCGTTTGCTACAAACACAAGTTGATCGCTGTACTATTGTAGTAAGACGTTCTTCATTACTCTTCGCCATCGTCTTTCCCTTTATCCTTCTTGTCCTTCTTTTCCTTCTTCTTCTTTTTCTTCTTCTTGGACTCCTCTTTCTTTCCGAAGGTGATGAACTCGCCCTTCTCATCAACAGCACCTGGATCCTGCCGGATGGAGATGATGGCAGGGGAGCCGGGAATGATGAAGGCTTCAGGAGGAATCTCTCCCGGCTTCAGGGCTTGTGGAGGACCGTAGCCGGGGCCCGCACCGTAGCGGAAGCTCCAGCTGTTACTGTTGATTCCAGCTCCTACAGGAGGGGACAGCTGTCCCTCTCCCTCCCCATCTGAGTGAGACAAATTATAAGGATTAGATTTTATAATCAGCACTTAAAAAAAAAATCAGGTTCAAAACAAAAAATAAAATGACCCAATTACTAACTACTATTATCTAACACCTAACTCCTAGTTTCTCCAGGGATACTACACATGTAATTCAAGCCTTATTAGTACCTTTCACCGAAGAAATCCTCTAAAATTCTTGTTGTAATTTTTTAGTATTTATATATGGGGAGACAGAAATGTCAGGGTGATGCAATTGTCTTGATATTACAACAAACAAACCAACAAAAAATCGTCATTGAACGAATAATTCTTGAAATGAAAACCTTGGCGTAATGGGAATAAAAAAGGTTGCATAAAGTAACGAGTAACTGTGATTAAAAATGTACAAATAATTTACAAATCAATTGACAGCCCTTAAAAACAGCTTCATTGCTTATTAATATTTTCAACATTTTTGTCATGTTGTGCAACCAACAAAGCTGAAAACATGCTGGGGGAAAAAAAAGGAAATGATGTCATAGAGAGACCCTGTTTACTGTCTGTCTGTAAATAAACAAATAAATAAATAAAATGTTATTACTTTTTACTTGATGGTTACACCGCATGACAAGAATCATTACATTTAAACATTTTCTGAAAGCACTATGGTTTTCAAAACTATATCAAACAAATATAAAACAAAGAGAATACTTCTAATAACTTAGTATTATTAATATAGATTTTTTTTTTTTTTTTTTTGGAGACGAATGGCAAAAACAATCTGCATCAAGTGCATGATTGGAGAAACATGTTTTCTTTGCTTTATTTAACACTGATGTAAACCTACAAGTAATGCGAGCGCGCGCACACACACACACAGCATCACTCTTGAGTGCACTTTCATACAATGTTCATGTTTGAAAGTGTACTACCCCAACAGGGACAGAGAGCAGAGTACAGAGTGAGACTCTTATGTACTACTTTCCCTACAGAAGCAGGGCTCTTTGCCACACCAGTTACTCTATGACCTACTTTCATTTCTGTGTTTTATTTAGATCTCACCATGACCCTGAAATGCAATTCTGTTTGTTTTTTGATCTGTACGTTTATAACAGTACCGCGCGGCTTATTTCAATAAATGCAAAACCTAGCAGGGATTATCCATTTTGATATTCTTTCCTCAGCTTAAATGAATCTGCATGGGTGGATTGTGCATCTATGTGTGCGTGCAACAACTTACTAGACTAAATTAGGAATCCTTCTCGCGCTCAGTTTCAGGCACGTCTAAATTTAGACACTTCAAATACAGCCATTAATATGCAAACTGCTCTTTTTTTCTATGGCTACTGATCCAATATGTGTAACTGTTCAAAATCTTGACCATGTTGAAAATGTACCACCTCTGCATCAATACACAACACTCATGGCACACAGATGGTGCAGCGAAGAGTCAATGAGAGAGCGTTCACATGCACACTGTATGCCGCCCCCTGGGCTTGACGGATCACATTTGGCTGAGAAGGTCAGAAATTGTGGTTTAGAGTGGTAGCATTTACTTGCAGAGTGGTCAGATCTCTAGTGAGAGAGTAACTCATGTGTTCATGTGTTAGTCACACCTCACTCCATCTCCCTGTGGCTTTCATTATGGCAGTAATAATGTTTCATGTCAGAGCAGGTCAACTGAGCAGACTAGTTCTCGTCCTCATGAGACCAAAGAGAAGATCAACATAGTGAAGCTTTAAGCAACAGTTTAAAACAAACTTTCATTGCATTTCTCTCTTTGGTGTAAAGGTCAATGACAAATAAGTGTTTCTGATTTAAAGAAATAAAAGTTTAAAAACACATTTGCCAAGTTTGTATTTATTTTGCTTTGTTATTCATTCTATAATGTAAACATAAAAGTAATAGAAAGTAAAGTTCTGTTCTGCATTTGTGTACTTGTTGGTTGCACCACATGCCTTTGATTCTGCAAACATTTTTGAACTTTTTTTTAAAGAATCCAAGAATTAATAAACAATTTTGCCAAATTACTTCAGGGTTTCTTTTCAATAATTTTATTTATTTAATAGTTTTTATTATTGTTATTGTTATTATTATTATTGGCTGTCTATTATTATTGGCTATCTGGCACTCTAAATTTATGCAAAATTAATTGATTTTATTCCAGAAATTAAAAATATTATTTTTTATAGATTGTGGATTTTCAAACTGTCTGTAAAAACTGCCCCAGATTAGACTGTTCTTATGAGGGATAAAAATCTCCAACATTCACTGCTAAAAAATTGTGTAATTCAATTTGAGCTTGATTTTTGGTAAAATGTCAATAATATGATGACACACGCAAGCATCTGACCATTTATAAAGCCACAATACCAACTTTGACAACACACTGCTTAATAACTTTTTTTTCCCTTTTTTCCCCCTAAGTAGAATAGTAGGACCTAATATATAACCCATACTGTATATAATGAGGATATACTGTATATCATGTGACACTTAAGACTAGATTAATGGCTGATGAAAATTCAGCTTTGCATCACATAAATAAATTACATTTTAAAGTATATTAAAATAGAAAACTGTTATTTTAAATTGTAATAGTATTTCACAATATTACTGTTTTTTCAGTATTTTTTATCAAATAAATGCAGGCTTGATGAGCATAAGAAACTTCTTTCAAAAACATAAACAATAGTAATGTTTAACATTGTAAGGCTTGTCAGAGCAGCCAGATAAATGTGTGCATTTAAGACAAATATGTGATCTAATATGCATTCATGTGTTGGGTGTGCTTTCCTACATTCTAAAAAATAATGTTTGCATCAATTTTTTGGAGTTATCTTTGAGTGAATTAATCTTCAACCAGCAATCTACATTGAGTTAGAGGAACTTAATAATTTGTATAAGTTGATTCCTCAAAAAAATTAAGTCGCTCCAACTTCCAGAGTTGTAATCCTGGGACCAATTAATCTTATCTATTTCAGTTCAAATCAACAGCTATCAAAACACATGGTAACATAACTTTTTCAACATGTATATTTAATGAACAAGCAAGGTATTACTTATCCCTGGCATTCTCACAGTCATTGCAGAGTCAATGTGTTTACCTTTATGTATCTACTCTTCAGCACAATGGTAACCACAAAAACTTCAACATTACAGAAACTCTTTTAAATGTCACAGCATTTAACACCAACAGGTCTTTCTCTTCACTAAAAACAAATAAATTAACACTCAATTTCAACATTTATTCTCCTTATTCAGTCCTATGCAAAGCATGATGTGAACTAGAAATCCACTGCCTATTTTCCTAAGTTTTCAAGACAATTTCATTAAGTTACTACAACCTAATTCAAATAATAATAATTAACGCAGAAATTTGAGTTTAAATTACAGACAATATTATGTTGATGTAATGATTAACATTATTATATCAACAGAACTCTACAAAATAATTTTTGCAACTTAAAAGGTTTAATTAAAACAATAAATAAGAATTGTTTTTATCTTGCAACCATACATTTATTTAAGTTGTGGTAACAAGTCCCCTGAATTACATTTAGAGTGTATAATATTTCTACCTCTCTTTTTCTCTACCTTCCACTCCTCTCCCCTTCCACACCTTGCTCGTTCTTCCATTTTGAGTACGGCTGGTTGCCATGGAAACCTCCTCCCCCATCCCCGCTCGCCCACTCCCAGCTGCTCCTGCTGCAGTATCTAAGATTCATTGTTGTTGCCTGGCAACAAGTCACACAGTGTTTCCTAGCAACAGGACCACCGGAGGGGTCTGCCAATCCTGAACCTCTGTGCATCTCCAACCCCCACATCCCCCCTTCTCTTTCAGCATCACTCTCATTCTATCATTTCTTTCCTTCCTCTATTACTCGTCGTCTCTCTGCATCCCACATGCTTTATCTTTTAAATGACTCTCGGTATAGCAACCTCATATATCTTAAATCAAATTAATCTGTGTATCATTTTCCTGCTTGGCCTCTTTTCTGTTCCTCCTGTTCCTATGACCTCAACTGTGTTATAATTTACAAGCACTAAACCAGCCCTTACACAACACACCTGCACTGGTTCAGTAACACAACATTAGCCTGCTTATAATCACAACACCCAATTTTAAATGGACAACTAAACTGGTTTTCATAAGTCTATCAGATTAACAGTTTATAGGTCATACTTCAAACCTCTCTGCAGCCTACTAGTAAAGAATCAATGTATTTCTGTTTCTCCTCTCCTCCTTTATCTTTCTCTCTCGAGTCGAGTGTGCCTCTCTCGATCTGTCCCACTTACTCTATCCATTTCTTCCCACTGTCTGCTGTCATTCCAGTCCGGCTCTGCTCTATCAACCTGTCAATATCTCCACCATCCACCCCCCAGGAGACCAGCCACTCTTCCTTCATTCCTCTAATGGCATATTAGATTGATCGTCCTCTGTCTATCTGGCTGATCTTTGAGGAGAAGCATATCTCAATAATGCAAATTCAATAACAGGCTTCATGCATCACAATATTTAGATACTTTGGTACTGAACTTCAGTAGAGTAGATGAAAGATGCCGTCCAAGGCACATCATGCTCTTACTCAAAATAAACACATTTGGTGTATTGTGTCAACTGATGATTATGTTGCCTAGTTATGTGTTAGGCATTTGAGGGACGCAGCACTAAATTACAAATGAAATCCTGTCAGAGGAGGACTTGCCTTGATTCATCAGTATTTGTTAAAGGGAACCTATTATACCTTTTTTGGGTCTACTAGAATATGTTTTCATGCTTGAATGTTAAAAAAACACCATGTTTTACCACACATTTTACATTATTGCAGCACCTCTCTTCCCAGTCTGTCAGTAATGCTCTGTTTATTTCCGGTCACTATGAAGCCCCTCCTTCTGAAAAGCACAATGAGCTCTGATTGGTCGGTTGGACCGGTGTGTTGTGATTGGTCAACCGTTCGAGCTTGTTTCGGAAATGTCACGCCCCTTACCATAACTGAGTTTTAACACACTACTAAAGCAACGCAACCAGGCCTCACCCCTTTTTTTGTGAATCCCTTGAGAGGGAATTATTTAAATGAGGAATAACGTGATGTGTTCGTTCCCGGAAGAACACTCAAGACTACAATTGAGGAATTTCAGGGAGTGTGTTATAGAGAATAACTCTCTCTGAAGTGGACGTGTACATTTGCGCACCTTTCACACTCAAACAGCAACATTACACTCTAAAGAAAGCTGAAAATGTAAAAAAAAGCATAATAGGAACACTTTAATAAAAATAAACTTTGGAATAAGTAAAGAAGAATATAATAGTGTATCTAAGAGAATGACGCACTGCACTGAACCACAGTAAGTAATTGTTACAAGATGTCTGAAAAAATTAATGCTAAAGCTCAAGCCAGACTTGCAGACTTGTTCCCTGTCATTTTAGATCTTGGGAACAGTATTGCAATAGAGAGCGACAATGGAAAGAACACTCTTTGTGTGTGATTGGAGATCTTTCAGGGCATGCAAGACAGTAAAAAAGCAGAGAAAGAGAAAGAGCTGACATTTTTGGATGAATGAGTCTAACCTGCTTTAAACAGGTTGTTTTAAACATGCATGAACCCATGTCAGATTGAATCAGCTTCAATTTGGGTCAAAGGTTTTGGCCGGCCCTGATTCATTCCTAAGATTCATTACAAGACATCCAGAATTGCCATATGCATTAGGCATGTTAATTTGAACAGATGTAATAGGTTGATAAGCATGATAATTTTGCTAGAGATAAAATTACCAGATTAGCAAGAGCATGAAGTTTTGCGAGAAGATGATGAAGTCGTCAGTTTCAGATGATTAAGATTTAATTACACTCAGTTAGCAATGCAGACGTCTTTAAGATGTGACCTCACCTGCTGCGCTGGAGACCGTGGGCCAGTTCTGGACCAGCATGCCTTGTGCTCCCTGCATCACAGCTGAAGCCTCCTCCATATGCACAGAGCTAAAAACAAAACCAGTTGACATGTCATTAGTCTTGACATTTCAAACTTCCAGTAACTCTTTGGACTGCTATTAAAAAAAGGCAGAGACAATGCTCAGTAAAACTAATGTAAAATATATTTCAATATAAAATGCAGCTTCGCTTTTGGGCTGTGAGAGTAAATAAGATGTGCAACGGGGACAGATGTGTTAGCGTGTATTTTTCTGAGCTTTGGTCTGAAGGTGCGTGTGATGGTGAAAGTACATGTGACAGTGTGTGCTAGACTATCTGTGATCTAATGTGTCAGTGCGTGAGGTGGTGTGTGCGTGTGTGAGCTGTCTTGGTGGTTGTCATGATGTGCTTTAGCTCCTTCAGACGTGTTGACTGGAAAACACATTGACAGAGTGTCTACACAGAAATACACAATCCCTGGTTTCTAAAACAAGGCTTAAGCCTAGTCCCAGACTAAAATGCATGTTTGAGCTGTTTTAACTGAAAGCAACTTGCACTGGCATATCTTAAAATGCAGTTACAGTGTTCAGCATCACATGATCCTTCAGAAATCATACTATTATGATGATTTGATGCTCGATAAAAAAAAATCTTATTAAGATCAATGTTGAAAACAGTTGTGCTGCTTAATATTTTTGTGAAAATATTATAAATGTTACTGTCACATTTGATCAATTTAATGCATATTGCTAAATAAGTAAATTAAAGTAAATTTCTTTAAAAAAAAATAAAAATAAAAAAAAAAAACCCTGACCACAATCTTTTGAATAGTATGTATACAATATTTTGATTTGGAATATTTGGCATATACAGAACTGGCATATTTTTCATTTTTGTTTTTAACATGTTCATGATTACGCTTAAAACGTGACAAAATCTGTCAAATGTCAAAATAAGCATGTATTAAATAAACATTAGCCTTAATATATTATGAAGTGTTGTTACAAATAAATATATCTTGTTTCAAGAAACTGACAAATTGGACAAATATAAATGTTATGAATTTTTTTGCAGTCTAGAAATGATAAAGAAATACTGGAGAAATGTAGAAAGAAAGATGATATAAAGGAAAAGCGTTCATCAGAGAGAGAGAAAGCGGATTGCATAGAAAATGTATTACATTTTCAACATTTCCCTTCTCTCACAAGGGCCCATTTCATAATCTGATTTCCCCTAATACATTGTTTGGTTTCTTTACCATCTTTATCTTCCCTCCATTCCGCTCTTCATTTCTCATTCTCGGTCTGTCAGCAGGCCATGCATAACATAAGCCTGGGAACTTGTGGTAGACAGCTGAAGATGTACTATGTACTTAAAATTTCAACAAATACAGCGATGCACCCTAGAGCTGCGGGTACGCATTACAGTAAAGGGACTTTTCATTACCTATATACACTTTTCAGCGATGGCCTTTTGCTTTTAGCACGGCTCTGTGTGTTTGTCACCATGGCAACCACGATCAGACAAGCACCCACATAAAGAGCAGATCTGTGAATTATGCCAGCACTCCTATCCATTATGAATGTACAGACATGAGGAGCAGAAAGGAAGTGGGTATAGCAGGGCATCTGCAATGCAGCACAGGGTGTGCCCAGCCGCTACAGCTTCCATAACTCTGATCCAGTGTGTGTGTGTGTGTTAGCATGATGGATCTGTCTAATTCCCTTAAAGCTGAAATGCACCCTGTGCCTTGAGGCAGAGTGAATCAGTAACTTTTCTAGCCTAAGGAGAGGCTTGTCGATTGAGGGCTGTGTATTTAAAGCCACTGGAGAGGAAGTTTGGATACTGGAGCTGTTCGGAATAAGTCTAAATGAAGAGAAAGCATGACAGAGACATTATTGGCTCATTCAGGGTCAAAGGGAAGTTATGAATAAATAATGTAAATCTACTATATAATAATAATAATAATGTGGCATACTGAATTTACAGAAACCTTTAAACATCCTCTCCTGAAATTAAGCTACAAGTAATGGTTTAAATTGAAATAGTTGTGTATATTGCATATCTTTAATTACATTCATTGATTAAAAGTTTGGGGTTGGTAAGATTGTTTTTAATGTTTTTGAAAGAAGTCTCTGATGCTCATCAAGATTGTATTTATTTGACTAAAATACTGTAAAAACAGTATCATTGTGAAATAATATTACAATTTTAAAATAACAGTTTTCTATTTTTAATATATTTAATTTATTCCTGTGATGGCAAAGCTGAATTTTCAGCATCATTACTCCAGTCTCCAGTGTCACATGATCCTTCAGAAATCATTCTAATATGCTGACCTGCTGCTCAAGACACATTTCTTTATTATTATCAATGTTGAAAACATTTTGGAATTATTGTGATTTTTTTTTTTCCAGAATTATTTGAAAAATAGAAACAGCAGTTATTTGGAATTTTTTAATTCAAATTTTTGTAACATTGTAAATGTAAATTTTTACAAGTCACTTTTAAATAAAATTGTATTGCATCCTCAATGAATAAAAGTATTAATTACTTTTAAAAAGTACATGCTTATTTCTCCTATTCTTACATTTAGGCTACATTACCTTCACTTTCATCTAATGCTTACTTTATCTTTAAAAACACTATTAATTTAATAATACTGTATGCACTTATAATAATATTTAGCAAATCTCAGATTGAATATTCCCTTTTCCATTCTGTACATTATAACGTTGTGATACCTAAATTCCCAAATTATGCATAAAAAATATTGATTTTAATTCTTAGTGCTTTATTAATAATTTATTTAGACAAAACAGTAGGGATTTTAAAATCTACTTTTTTTCGGTAATCAACCATAACATAATAATTGGCTTATCTGCCAGAATTTTTATGTTGGTGCATGTCTAAATGTAATTTATTAGTATTTAATGTTGTACAATATTTATATGGTGCTCAAAGTGGCTCACACAGTGTCTACACCGGACGCGACGGAGCTAGAAATTGTTCACATTGTAGGCGTCGAAGCGTCCATTGCAAATCTATTTTTCCTTTGTATCCAAATAGCGTGAACGCTACAGTATGTCAGGAATAGATTGGGGCAACGGTTAACCGTTGGGAATTTGTTGTCATGTTGTGCTGCACTGCATCCAGTGTAGACAGCATCACTGATTATAATGGGTTTGCTTTTGTCGCGTCGCATCGCACCGCTCGCCTCTGGTGTAGACACGGTGTCATCTATTTTTTTCCCTTGTGTGTAATGTCTCCTGTGCCCCTTTTTGCACTAGCCTTCAGTCACAGACAAGCACATAAAACACACACAGACTAAACCATCCCTGGAGATGAGCCCACAGGGTAGCACAATATTATCACATAAAACAGACAGCCCTTCACCCTTTGGAAACTGTATATGTGTGTTGATAGGGGAGGGGGCCTGGTTGTCTCCAGATATAAGTGTGTGTGCGGGTATGTGTGAAGAGTTAGGGAGAGAATAAATATTTAGCATTTTAGAGATGACTCATTTTGTCAGTATTTGTGCATCGAAATGCTCCCCCTGAGATTTGAATTGCCTGCTTATCGGCCATGGGTAAGCTCACACAATCAGCTCATCTGCTAGCTTGTCCTTTATGCTTGGTTGTGAAGGACTGTGCATCTGCTGTGGAGAATGCTGATGACCTACATACTCAAGATCAGACTGCAGAGCCACTATGCCAGGGAAAGGCCCTTAGCAAACGCTTCAAAGCTTGTGTTTGTGCGTGATAAAGGCAGACAGAGCACAGTTGGTCCACTGAGGAAGAGGCAAGAGGTCAGGAAGAAGTCAGAGAGCTCCTGGTGGCCATGATTCTGGTGGCTCTCTATAGCCATCAGCAAACATCAGCACTGACAATCTTTTTTGTGTTTTACTAATATGCTCCCTGTCCTCTGTAATTCTTCATTCCATCTTCTTTTGTTCAACTCTACAGCTAACTTAAATGGACACAAACTATGCTTATGCACTATCAACTTCATTATGTTTATGCCGTTTTATTATATTTTGTATTTTTTTTTTCAGCTTTAATTTAAACTAACATATTTTTTTTTTTTTAAATTACAAATAAAAGCTCATTTAAAATATAAATAAGTACTATAATATTATTTGAAGAATATTAAAACAACACGAATTACCATTAGTTATTACAAGTATTACAAGTGAACATCAATCAATTAACAATATGCATATTTATCAATTCGGTTACAATTTATTTTAAGGTGACATTAAAAGGTTATATTGTACTTACTCAAATAAGTACTGAGTAATATTAATTGACTACATGTACTTACTATAGAGTTATGGTTAGGGTTTGGTTTAGGGTTAGTTTCTTGAAATTATGGATAATTTTAATACAGTCTAGCAAGTACATGTAGTAATGTGTAACTATATTGGCTTGAACTAAATTGTTACCATAAATTAAAAATAAAACATTAATCTAGATTATTAAATCCTGTAAAAATTATTTTCATTGTTAGTTCATGGTACCCAAAGCATTAATTACTGTTATAAATTGAACCTTGCTGTAAAGTATTATCAGTATTTTTCCGAAAGAGTTAAATAACTATTCTTGAGGTTTAATGAAAAATTCAACAAATGTTTTTTTGTAATATGTATAATATATTGAGGATGCTTTATAGCTTCTGCTCTCCCTACAATTAGATTAAGTTCAAACAAGATGGTTTCCTGCATAATGACATTGAGGGTCAGAATTTGATTATTGTGGCTCAGGAAATGAGGAAATTAGAATTGGACATGTTTCACGGTGCTTTTACACTTTTACTCAGCTACCAAACCGTGGTCTAATGGTCTTTTCTCATAAATTGAGAAAATAGTTAGTGCTATATTAGTACAGAATAAAACCTAACATTTAATTATTATTTAGCTACAGAAAATGAGGTGCATTCCATATCGGTTCAGAGAGGACTGTAACTCTTTCAGGACGTTATTAACAGCAAAAGTGCTTACCTCTGCACTCCTGCCCTCAGCGACGCAGAGTAACGCCAGTCAGCATTTGGCCCTTTGGGCTGGAGAAGGAGAGAAAGTGAGAGATAGATGAAGAGAAATAGATGGAAAGAAGGGGTGGAAGGACAGAAAAGGGTTAGATACATTCTCATCAATAAATCATGGTGCTCTGTGTGTGTGTTTCTGTCTTGCATTTTAATATGAACCACAGCTAAAGGAGACCAGGACTACAGAGACGATTACTGGCACCACGCCATGGCCCATGACTCACTTGTATAATCTTGTGAGTGTGGAGAGAGTGCTTCATAATAAAGCATATGAAGGACACTTGACATTCACCTAATAACATACACAACCCATTGTAGGGATGCACGAGATTGGTTAATGGCCAATATTAGTGATTTTTAACTTATCGATATTGGCCGATATTGGATATTTCATTGATCATTTTTGCATTTAGACAAGAGAGTCTTTGCCATCATCCTGAGCTCATTCAAAATTAATATTTAATCATTTAGTTACACTATTAAATTTAATCTTGAATGAATATCTGTCTTTCATATGTCCAATTGTTATGATGTTATGCCTAAATTCACTTTACAGTTTTAAATCTATTGTTTGTTTGTCAAAATATTATAGAATTTAAATATCGGCCATAACACTAAAATATTTATTTGACATCATTTTGCAATCCATGATAATTTTTGCCTATTTTTCCATTTAGACAGTCTTTGCCATCATCTAGAGCTCATTCAAAATGTATATTTAATCATTTAATAACACTGTTAAATGTAATATTGAATGAATAACTGTCTTTCATACCCCCAATTGTTATTATGACTAAATTCACTTTACAGCTTTTAAATTTTTTTTGTTTTTTTTTACAAAATATTATAGAATTTAAATATCGGGCATAACACTGAAAAATGTATTTGACATCAGCCAAAATTGTATTATCGTGCATCCCTAGCCATTACCACACATTTTTAAATAACCCCAAAGTTCCGCTCAAAACCAAGTTCCTACATTCATTCTTTTCTTCTCCCAACATCCATCCAATTCCCCATGGTGCAGGAATGATATCATCCTGGGATACCAGCTGACCCCATGTAATATGATACTCGAGCATTTTCTGCCCTCAACTAGGGCAACTCAATCTGAACACTGGTCACAAGATGACCATACAAACAGCCATCTGTTTCTCCAGCAATCCACAGTAAATGAATGAATTGGTCTTACACAGAGGGAGAGCACAAGCACGTAGTTGCCATTTATATTTGCCCTAGTAAAATCCTGAAAAAAAAAAAAACCTGGGTTGTAGAATATGCGCTGGGATGAGGCATTAGAGAATGGCCCAGATAATTTGAGTAAATAACATCTTTAATCAGGTGAATTCAGGGGAGGGGGGGGGGGGGGGGCGTGCAAAGAGACTCTGCCTCGCTCTCACAATGTAATTTGCAGGGCTTGAGAATCAAAGGCTGGAGGTTAATTTCATTGCCTGCTCTCTTATCTCGGACAGACGGCCTCTGCTCCTAAATCCTCTGCAGTGTCAAATGAGCTGCAGTGTCTGTGCTGCCTCTCACCAACACATGTGAGAGGATATGCTGTCAAGAGCATCACTCTATAAACTCTAGCTATTCTTGTGCTGCAGACATTTTTAGACTGTTTCTGTCTTCCTTTATATCCTTTTTTAAACCATCTGCAACATCCCCTCCCGTGCAGAGATCAAGGCCACACAGCCTTTGGATCATGTTCTGGCTAATTAAAACACATTTCACGAATCCAAGGCTGACAGAGTGAACATGAATTCACGCCAATTACACTGACAAAAACACATCAATTGGATATCTATGACAGCAAATGCATTGCACAGGCATGAAACACAGTTTATCTGCATAAACTGTAAGGGTTTTTTATGTTTGGTTTGTACAATTGTCTATGTGACATCAGATTTTTCTCTCAAAAGTCCCTTATTTACTTCACTGTAATTTAGTTTACACAAAATAATGTTAAAATTCAAACACAAACTTGGAATAAAGACACAGTGACATGACCTGGTGTGGCAATGGGAGGAAGGAAATAATCCTGAAAATGTGATGACATCATCAAGCGTGGGAGCAAATGCCTGAATCATCATAAATGCAGTGTGCTACTCTAAAAAGTCTTGATGTTTGACACTAATGCAGGGTGAGGCAAAGCACTGTAAAGCTGCACTAGATAACCACGCAGTGCAACAGGAGATGACAAGGTCAAAAGCTTCTGACACATGGACACAGAGCTTCAGTGCAGTTCCTGCTTGGACTAAATTGCTTTTTACACTAAAACATATTAGACATACTGGAAAGTAGAGTTGTGGTATACTGAGCTAACGTTTAGTTCCCTGCATGATGCATCACATATGATTATATTTTATTTAAATAGTTATTTTTAGCTTCTTATTGATATATATATATATATATATTGCCATATTTTATGTTATGTGTCTGTCATCATAATTTTACCCAGAATTTCTGGCAACTACAGCTGCTTGTTTTGTTTTTTTCCAGTTTTGGTTTGGTTTGTTTTAAATAATTTTTTACTGTAAATTTGACAGGCTATTTTTTTTTTTCTACCGAAATATACTTTGTGATAGGACACACCTGCATTGCTGCATCTGGCATACTAAGCCTGCGAACAAATCCGCTCCCTCCTGTAAAAAAGCGCTCGGAGCCCCAGGTGCCACTGATGGGTCGGCCTGTGTTGTAGAACATGAAGGTGTCACTGCCCGACGTGGCAGTCAGACAGGTCTTGTAGCAATAGGTCTTGGTCAGAGAGCCATTACCCCGGACCTCAATATAATGAGGCTCAACTTTGAGGTCTCTTCGGAGCACCACGTTGTTATTGGGTTGAGCACCAGCACCACCACCACCGCCTCCTCCACCGCCCCCTCCCGAGCCACCTTCTGCTTGGGCCTTCTGGGACACGCAGCATGGCGAACAGGAGCCTGGCTGGGTGCAGTACGCATGGCAGCGCACGATGGCCAGCACAACAACCGTCACCAAAAAAACAAAGGTGGTGGCGCTCAAGGCAACGATGAGGTACAGTGTCACTTTAGAAAACAAGAGAGCGCTGTGAGGGCGGATGATTCGTTTGGGGTCAGGCATGACTTTGGGTGGCACCTCCATGACAGCCACGTTAATCGTAGCGGTGGATGATAGAGGTGGTTCGCCATGGTCCCTTACTAGTACGGTTAGACCAAAAGAGGTGGAGTTGTCTTCAAGGACGCGCCTCGTTGTACGAATTTCTCCTGTGTGTTCATGCACTTTAAATAGATCCAGATCGCTGGCCTGGTCCAGCAGATAGATGACCCACGCGTTCTGTCCTGCATCTGCATCATAGGCCACCACTTTTGAGATCAATGTACCTGGCTCTGCATTTTTCAGCACTGTCTCTGTTGAGCGCGTGCCGTTGGCTGGGGGATTCACAATCTCAGGCGGGTGGTCGTTTTGATCCATTATGTAGATGTAGACAGTGGCTACACGACTGAGTGGTGGGATACCACCATCCTGAGCTTTAACCTGGAAGTGAAACTCCCGTAATGACTCATAGTCAAAGGAGCGAAGGGCATAGGCAACACCAGTGTCCGCTTTAACCGACACATAGGAGGTGACCAGGATCCCGTGATTGTTGTCGTTTAGGACCGTGTAGGTGATGCGAGCGTTTTCATTGACATCTGAGTCCTGAGCCTTGATGGTGCAGAGCGAGGCTCCAGGTGCATTATTCTCCATGACATACACAGTGTAGGAGGTCTGGTCAAAGCGTGGAGGGTTGTCGTTCACATCAGCGACATCCACCTGAATGGTCTTCTGAGACGAAAGTGGAGGGTTGCCGCCATCTGTAGCGCTGAGGGTGACATTATAGGCTGCTGTGTTCTCACGGTCAAGAAAGGCTGAGGTTACCAAGGTATAGTAATTTCTAAATGACTTGATTTTGAAAGGAAGACCAGATGGAATTTCAAGGGTGACCTGTTTGTTAGGGCCAGAGTCCCGGTCCGTCACGCTGATCAGGGCCACCACGGTGTCTGCACGGGCATCTTCACGCACTGGACTGGACAAAGATGAGAGCACAATCTCTGGAACATTGTCATTGACATCTACAACCTCCACCACCACTTTGCAATGGGCTGCCACTGGAGCTGGGCCTTTGTCCATGGCCTGGATGTACATTTCATACGAATTGGTGTCCTCGTAGTCCACATTGCTCTTTACTCTGATTTCTCCAGTGTTGGTGTCCATGCTGAACATCTGCCTGACCCTATCTGGGGTGTAACTGCTGAATGAATAAAACACCTCCCCATTTGTTCCCTCATCTTGGTCTGTGGCATTCAGTTTGATAACCAAAGTGTCTTTGGGCGAATTTTCAAGCAATTTGACTTTATATACTGAGCTGTCAAAAACGGGATTGTTGTCATTCGAATCTAAGACGCGAACGTTAATTTTTGCGGTACCTGTTCGTGCTGGTGTGCCACCGTCGGTCGCTGTCAGGATTAACTGATGGTAAGGTGAGAGCTCGCGATCCAAGGGCTTTTTGAGAACGAGCTCGATGTGCTTAGTATTCAATGAAGGCTTGTTGGAATCGAGAGCAAAATGCTCGTTTGGGCTGAGCCGGTACAATCGAACCGAATTGGTTCCAATGTCCGGATCTTGCGCGTGTTCGATCGGAAAACGAGAGCCCGGCAAAGCCGATTCTGTGATTTCCAATTGATACTCGTCTCTGGGGAACTGCGGCGTATTATCATTCACGTCTGTAATCTCCACCTCGACATTATGGTCTTCAGATGGATTTTCAAGAAGAACCTCAAGATTCAAAACACACGCGGTGCTCGAGTCACACAATGTCTCTCTGTCAATTCTCTCGTTTACCACTAATTTTCCATTCTTATGGTCCACGTACCTTCTGCCGCTGTCAGAGGTTACCTTAATCTTTCGGGTGGAGAGCTTTCGAATATCCAAACCCAAATCCTGTGCAATATCACCTACAATCGTTCCACTATCCGATTCCTCTGGCACGGAATATCGTATTTGTCCGAGAGCAAGGCCACAAAATAATAAAAATAGCAAAAAAGAAAGAGGCACTTTTTTGTCTAGGCAATCACATATCCCTGCAACAGCCATCGCAAGATCATAGGATCCGCAGACGGATTAAAACAGCACTCCGCCTTGTCAGTTTGCAATATCTTGCCTCCCACTTCAGCATTAAAGGTTTTTCATTTATGTGCACAATGGCCTAATTGTCAATTCCATTCTAGAAGCGCACGGATACTTCTCAGATGCGTCCATGTTTCCTTTGTCCGCGCTTATCCTTTTTTTTTCCCTCTGCGCGCCGCTGACGGGTGTGTTTCCTTGCCACTGGTGCTGCATATTTCGCCGTGCGCGCTCTCTCTCTCTCTCTTTCTCCCTCCGCTTCAAGCCACCCCTCCCATTCTACTCCTTTTCCTCCTCTTCCTCATATGGCTCATTTCGATGGTGTTGGTGCGGCACACCGGGGGAGGGGCTGCCTACTCAAATATATTCTGATATTCGAGACCTTGTAAGAAAATATAACAGCTTGATGGAAGCCGCCACAAAGCAAAATATGCATTGCCATCAAATTAGCCTATCGGGTTTATGGTAATTTGAAGAAAAAAAGCTACACGTACTTGGAAAATATTAATATCGTTTCCTTAACTAGGACAGTGCGTTCATGTAAGGCAGTCGGATGAGGAAAAACACTCAAAATTAAATGCGTTAGAAGTGGTTTTCTGTAAGAGATTGGATTCTGCTGTAAATTATGATTGTCCGTGATACTTTCCCTACACTGTAATTAATAAAATTATAATAAATAAAAAAGAGGAAATGGTGTAAGTGTTTAAAATCTTAAGCAGCAATAAAAAGCTATATAAAAAGCACCTAGCCATATATGAAATAAAATTATATTTAAATGATAAAACAATTATATTTAAAAAGTTTTTACACGGTAATAATGGGTAAATCTATCATATAAAATGTATTTGTTAAATATTGCAACAAAGTCTCAGTTAGCCTACTGTATCGAGGTGGTGGTAATCAAATTTGGCATTTTTACAATATTTAACAGTAAAAAAAAATATTAAAAATAAATTTACCCTACTTTTACCGTGTTATGGTTGCTGTCAAATAAAGAGCCTGCACAATCTCGCGCACTGTCATGACAGGCTGCGACTTCTCAAACATGATCATCGTTGTCAGCGCTCCCAAAGAACGGCAAACCAAATCATTATAACCAAGCGGCTCAATTGTTTCACAAAAATGTTGCTAATGTTTTGGGAAAATACAAAATAGTTTTATTCTATATTGATCACACAACTTATATCCATCATAAAAAGCTATAATTATCATTGCCCCAGAACGCGTTTTTTTCTTTCCGCCTCCCTCTCCCCGTCTGTGGCTTTGACTTCAGACAGACCAGGTCATTCGGGCGTGCGCGCCTGGGGCGCGATCTCTGTGCATCCGTCAAAATGCGCCACAGTGAGGGAGCGTGTCACTCTGAAACCGATGACATAAACTAAGCCAGGGCAGACTGTCAGCGTAAACCCGTCGCATTAGGGTCGCCTCATGTCATCACCAAATAAAGCAATAGAAAACAATCTTCAAGATGAGAATTCGTTTAATTTTGAAATAAAAATAATAATCTTTTAAAAATAATAATCTTTTATTTGTATCAGATTATTATTGTTGTTTTAACGTTAGATATTTTGTGCAATATAAAGAATAAAATGGGCCATTCATATGTCAAAGGTCACAACAAGTTTAAAGGGTTAGTTCACCCAAAAATGAAAATTATGTCATTAATTACTCACCCTCATGTCGTTCCAAGCCCGTAAGTTCATCTTCGGAACACAGTTTAAGATATTTTAGATTTAGTCCGAGAGCTTTCTGTCCTCCATTGAAAATGTATACACGGTATACTATCCTTGTCCAGAAAGGAAATAAAGACATCATCAAAGTAGTCCATGTGACATCAGTGGGTTAGTTAGAATGTTTTGAAGCATCGAAAATACATTTTGGCCAAAAAATAACAAAAACTACGACTTTATTCAGCATTGTATTGTCTTTCGGTTCTGTTGTCAATCCGCGTTCAGTGACGCTGCTGACGTGTTATCGCTGCGCCCGAGCTTCGTTTACAGTCTGAGGGAGACGCACGCTACAAAACAATCTTTGCAAACATGTCTAAGGATTTCAACACAGAGGAAGACTTGCATTTTTTTGCCCAGCCATATTTATTTGAACCCGAATACACGGACGCACCAGATACACGTCAGCAGCGTCTTACGTCATCAGCGTCACTGCGGACTCGTGAACTCGGCTTGACAACAGAACCGGAAGACAATACAATGCTGAATAAAGTCGTAGTTTTTGTTATTTTTGGACCAAAATGTATTTTCGATGCTTCAAAACATTCTAACTAACCCACTGATGTCACATGGACTACTTTGATGAAGTCTCTATTTCCTTTCTGGACAAGGACAGTATACCGTACATACATTTTCAATGGAGGGACAAAAAACTCTCGGACTAAATCTAAAATATCTTTAACTGTGTTCCGAAGATGAACGGAGGTCTTACGGGCTTGGGGACGACATGAGGGCGAGTCATTAATGACATCATTTTTTATTTTTGGGTGAACTAAGTGTTCTGTTCGATTTCTGTGTACTCCCCTTATGGACCGGGTCAAATTGACCCTAATTGGATTCAATACAATTCCTCAAAAATCACACTATGAAAAACAACAAAGATTTAGATACAAACTGTAAACTTTTAATATCAACATTTGTCAAACATTACAAAAACATTATATCTGAAAATATGATTTATGAAAATGTTTTTAAAACATTTTTTAAAACAGTTTTGTTTTGACAAAATTGGAAAATAAACAGTATACTGATTTTTTTTGCATATTTTTTTTAAACTTTTTTTTAATATTTTTTTTTTACATTTTATGCTTTGAACATCGTAACTGAACAAAAAAAATTGCTGTATAATGAAAATTTTTCATTTTCCTAAGTTAACTTTCCCTAGTTTCCTAAGACCTATTTTCCTAGTTTCATTATTCACTCACTGGGAAGTGAGAAACCAAACATAACAAAAACATACATCAAATAAATGTTTTTTATTAATTTTTTGGCTCTGTGAAGTTGCCTTTGAAAATCCTACATAAAAGTTTTGGGTAAAAGCTAGGTATTTTAGATATTTTGAATATTGAAATGAGAGCTTATTTTACTATCTGTGTCGGACAAAGATTTTCATCTGTAATTTGCAAATAATTCTGAACACTGTAATTTTATCTTTTTCAAGTGTGTTTGGTTAGGGTTAGAGCACTTTTAGATGCACTTGCACGTTAGAACTGGAGTTGAAGTGCCCTGACATACAGAAAATAAATGTTTTTATTTTGTGTCTGTACAGTTGCTTTTGAATGGCTGTCTATGAGGGTCAAATTGACCCGCGAACATCACGAACGTAACAGTAATTTTGTTTGTATATGTCAAAACACATCAGCGTGTTGAAACTTTGCATGCATGTTCATCATGATAAATGAGAAAAAGTCACAAAATATCAAGAAAAAAAACAAAGGTTAACCAGTATTTCCAACAACTTGAAAATCGAAACGGGTCAAATTGACCCGCAACATAACACAAGGGTTAACTCTAACCTACTTTTTTTTTCAGTATGGGGTCACTGGAACACAGAACAGCAGGTGGTAATCACATATCTTTATTTGTTCTCTGCCAATATTAAATGAAACAAAAGGATGAATAGGCAGTATATGTGTATGTGAAACACTAGGCAGTGTTTATGCATTGTTTTCATAATGTAATTGTTTGGATCTTTTTGGAAAGTACTGTGAGTGATACCACATGTTTGGCAGCACAAAACGCTCTGTAAGCCACTGGGTCAGATACCCACATGTTTACTTTTGTTCTGACTTTCAGATATCTACAATCCAGATTTAGTTTCTGACCACACCTACTGTCTCTCCTGAACACACACACAATGCACATATGGTGAAAGCAGTCTAATACTATTAAAAAATCAAGTCTTTTAACGATGGAATTGACTGCTTTGGTCCATGTTCTTCAAGATCTATTAAGGTCTCTGCTTCAGCAAACCTACAGGAAATGTAAAGGCACAACCAGGCCTCATCCTGCATGCATGTACTTTCACTGTCAGTGTGCAATAACAAGACTGTCTTGACATTTGCAGAAGTGAGTTGTAGCCTTAGGGAACTGAGTGTGTTAAGTTGTGAATGATAGAGAAAATGGGATGAGTATAATACTGCCAATTGACATCCCCAAAAACAAGGCTCCTATTTAAGAATAACATTGCTACACTAAGTGTTGTATATTTGTGATAGGCTAATCACACTAGAGAGCATCAGACTAATTGCACTGGGAGACTGATTAAGATGTAAATGGCAACCTAAGAAAACAGGATGATTTTTTTTTTTTACATAAGTGAAATATAGAGCCAAATGGTCTCCCTTTATCCTTAATTGACAACATTTAGCTGGCTATAATGTATAAAGAAAATCAAGAAAATAAACGGATTAAAAAATCAACAAATTATATTATTATGTCACACACATATATATATAAAGCTAGACTGCTGTCATTTGTGGTCACAAAGACAAGCTAAACAGTTGAAAATTGAAAGATATTACACTGCGTTGAGCTTTGACTTGTGAACTTTGACCTTTGGCATGGCAGAGACCCATTTACAAGTGGTCCTCCTCCTCCCCTGACCCTACTTACATAAGTGTGCCATATTTTAAAAGAGATGCACCCATCTGAGAGACACCGCTTAGACAGCCTGCACCAACAGTGCCCTCAGCAAGGGCATCCAGAGTCACACCACTCACCGCAGTGTGCACTAAAAAACCTCTTCATCTCTCTTTCCCACTCTCTTTGCATGCATGTCGTCTTCTTTAATTCTTTCTCTCTACTCTGCCAGTTGTGGCCTATATTTGGTGTTGATGATGTAGGTCATAGAACCGAATGGTAAATTTAGAGCCGTATATTTCCTTGCACTACTGAATGGTAGATATATAGCTATGAAACTCCCAGAATGGACAACATAGTCTCAAGTTTCACAGGCCCAGAGTATGTTGGTCTATATATAAATATACA